GCAGGTCCAGCTGTTTCGGAGATACGAAGCAAAGAGTGCAGAAAATAAAAATTGAGTTTGTGAGAGAACAGAGCATCCGATTTGAATGATCAAAAATATTCAATTCGTCATGATAGGAAGAAGTGGTGATTAGTTTTTGGCAAAGGAAAATCTAGCCGTTTCGGAGATACGGAGCTAAATGTGCTCAAAATGGCAGTTTTTGAGAAAACTAAGTTTGATAGATTTTTTAAAGCAGAATTTAAATAATACAAATATTCTATTAAAATTCACCTAAAAGATAGGCCAACCATTGGATTGTCATCTATAAAGCCACGTCATTTAAAAGTCAAGCTTCGATATGTAATTTCTGGTTAATGATATATAAAAAATGATGCGTTATTTAATGAACAATTCCTGAGTTAATTCTTGGATAAAATATCCATGTTATGTTACCGGTCTCTTGTTATTTTTGACGAGCCATAATAAAATTCGGCCAATTAAATAAATTTTTAATTAGCGCCAAAGATTTTTGTTTCACTTAATTGCAATAACTATAACAGCATTAATCAGATCTACGATTTGAGCAGCCTTCCTTACCCTATATAAGTAATGTGATTTTTTTTAACAGTTCGAAATTATAAAGACTGTAGGATTGTAGAAATATCGCAAATAACGCTTAATTTTTGAATAAAATATTTATGTTATGTTACCGGTCTCTTGTTATCTTGAATGAGTGTCTTAATAAAATTTCAGACAACTATAAAAGCCAACTAAATAAATATTCGATTGATCCCAAAGATTTTTGTTTCATTTAATTGCAACATTATTTAGGAAGTGCGACTTCAGCAACCTTGCCCTATGTGAAAAATGTTATTTTTTTTTTTTAAAACAATTCGAAATTATAAAGATTGTAGGATTGTAGAAGTGTAGCAAGTAACGCTCTTTCTTTTCGTAAAAAATTTAAATATCTTTATTTCCTTTGCACTAAGTGGAACGAACATGAGTGGGTCTCTGGCTAATGAGTTTGATAATATAATTTTTGGAGCCAGGAGCAAATAGCGTATTATGCAAGAAATCGTACCAAACATGATCGTTTTAACGGGGTTCTACATGATGCATATAGCCTACTGTATATGTATCAAATAATTCTTGTGAATCTACATCGAACATATTGCATAAGTTTATTTTCATTTTTCATATCACACTAGGCAATCGGAACTGTAGGGCGACACGAGCTTCCTGTGTTATTATCCCTGCGCGTTCAATGGATATGGTCAAATAATATCCCTCATATGAACACTGTACAATGTTTGACGATCCATGACCATTACTTTTTATTTAAAAAATGAAAATTATATTCGCGTGCAATATTCATATGAATGCATACATGCATGCATGAGCTTCATGTTGATGTCAATAATATTTATATAAATATAAATATAAATGATTTTAATACTAAAAATATGTAATTTTGCTATAAATTTCAAATTACCGTTATAAGTAATGTAATTCCAGTCGATTTGCGATAAAGGCTTGTGAACATGATGCACATAGCCTTATCAGATAAAAAGATTAGAATTCAGGTATGTTAGAACAAATTTTAATTATTGAAGCCATAATCGGAATAACGTAATTATTATTGACTTTAGATAGTATTTCCAGATATAAATATATCTGGATGGAAATAAAATGTGAAATAATTTTCCAAAATGTGTACCTATATTATTAGAATGATCGTTAAACGCTATGAAAAGTTAGATTAAAATCGTCAAATTTCAACAATTACGAAGAAATGGAACGAACTATCTTTACAAAAAACTAACCCACGACTATTCCCAAATGATATTTTTCGAACAGTTTTTAATTTAACTAGTGGGGTGGGTGGCCATCGTGCCTTAAGGCAAATTGCTGGAACTTCCCGCACCGTAACGAAATGTTCGAGGAATACTGAATGTTTTCAAATAGATTATTATAAATATTGTAACATTGTCTAATATTTATAAGAATTATATAAACTGAATTGCAAAGTTAAAATTATTTGTTTAAGTTATATTAGAACTATAGTCAGAATTAAAAATAAAATCTGAATTATTTTCGATATACAAAAAATTAAAAAAAAAATTGAAACAATTTTTTTTTTACAAAATCAATTATTTTGTTAAGACAAGCAGAAAGTTCTTTGGATCAATTGAATCGGACGCTTAGTTCTCTCAAAAACTGCCATTTTTTGTACATTTAGCTCCGTATCTTCGAAATGGCTGGGCCTGCCTTTGCAAAAAACTAATAACCACTTCTCCCAATCATTACTAATTGAATGTTTTTTAGATCATTCAAATCGGTTGATCCGTACGCCCGAAAACGTGGGCGAAAAATTGTATCCATACATACATACATACATACATACATACATACATACATACATACACACACACATCCATTTTTTCTGAAGTATGCCAAAAAGTTCAGAAACCTTCAAAACGTCGAGAAATGTAAAAAATTTCAATTCCGATTTTCGGCCCACTACAATAACTTACCCTACGGGAAGTTAAAAAAATGGGTTTAGATCTTTTAGCAAAAACGTTGACGAAAAGTTTTGCATTCATTTGTTAAATATTAATAAGAAACGGCTCAGCCGATATTCTCACAAAATGAATGAATACGAGTTCTTTTGGAGAAATGATGATTAGTTTTTGGCAAAAAAGGGTCTAATCATTTCGGAGATACAGAGCCAAATGTGCAAAAATTGCAGTTTTTGAGTAGAACTAAGCATCCGATTTGAATGATTCAAAATGCTGCTTGGGAAAGACAATAGTTTTACTTCATTTTTTTTTAATTTCCAAAAATTCCTTTCTTCGAATATTTCATTGCAGTACGGGAAGTTCCAGCAATTTGCCTTAAGGCACGATGAGCAGAATTTACAGTATTACAAATATTCTTTACAATTCACCTAAAAGAAATAGGCCAACCATTGGATTGCCATCCATAAAGCCAAATCATTAAAAAATTAAGCTTTTGGCTTGATTTGCTAAATATTGAGAAACGGCTCGGCGATCTTCTCACTAAATTAATGAATACGGGTTCTTCTCGAGTTTCCCTACAGTTTTGAAATCAGTGCAACGTTTTTGAGAAAAAGGTCAAATTTGACTCACATATACAAATAGTTATTCCAATTTAAAATGACTTCTTTGTGAAATCACACAATCGGGAAATTCACTCTTCATATCGCGTTCGATGTATCAAAATATTTTCTCATCTGCAAGTCTATTTCTATTCCGTAAAAGCAAAACATTAAGTGTATTATCATTATATATCATTTTTGATTCGCAATATGCATCGAATGCGGGTATATATTTATGTATGTCCTCTATATCATAAAAGCATCGATAAACTTCCCATGAAATTGTCTTTTTTATGCCATTTTGTGAATATTTCGATGAAGCACGCGAATCGTATTGTATATGACGACTGAATCGATAATGAATCTTCATTATGGAGCCCTGTTGTCCGATCGTTTCGGTCTATGGGTCCTCGGACATAATTGTGTTTTTGGTTTTATTTCTTTTTTGCTGACCCAATAAAATTGAAATATATATATTCAAGTTTGAGAACCAGAGCTGATTCTTACAGAAATTTATAACACACAACATTTGCTGATTAACAAAGGATAGATTTTACCTCTAAGTTAAAGAAATTTTTACTCTAATATCTGTGTACTTTTTTCCATATGCAATAGAATGAACACTATATCAAATTATAGCTCATTAAATGTGTTTTATTATTTTTTAAAAATTTAACACTATTTCTTATTTTGAAAATAAGTGTAAAAATAAAACATTGGAAGATAATTCTAGTAGTTATCTGAAGAATATATTTGGAGAAACAGTATTTTCTAATCGTGTTACCATCAGCAAATGTAGGCGGGAAAAATTTTTCGTCAGGTAATTAATATTAGTAGTATTCTAATAAGAAATATTAGTTTTCCAGACGAATTTATCTAATTAGTCTAGATTACTAATATTAAGTAAATATATATTTAATCATTATGATTCATTAACGATTCTGTATTTCAGCATCTACATTTTACAACAGGGTCTAAGGAAAGAGAATTGTAAAGTCAATTTCATCAGCAGGCCATTAGAGTTAATTGGTTGGTTAATTGATCCTGGTAAATGGCAATAAACACCAAGCAAAATGGGGGGCTTGTTGCCATTAAAACAAGTTTATTAATGAAAATGTGTACGTATAATTCAATAGACTGGGTTTTAGAATTAAACTTGGTATATAGTACAATTTGATTAAAAATACCATGGACTGACTAATAAGTGTACTTTCCACTGACAAAAATTACGTGATATTTGGATATTGCAATTATGCAAAAATTTAATTACAATTAAATTATTACATATAACAATAAACAATTGTGCAACATCATATTGGCTTTTACTTTACGAATTTTTTTGAAAATCATATTATTAACCATATACTTTACAAAATAAATTTGTAATAGCGTCTACAAACAGAAATCGTTAAAAAAAGCCGGTATGATAAATTGATGCCACAAGAAGAACAACCAGTCAATACCAAGTTTAATACATTTATAAACACAATAAATATATATTTAAAATCGACTCACCTAAATATTATGTATAATCCTGTAAAAATTCACTACACTAATAAAATGTTACACAAATAGGACCTTGTTTTATAATTGACTGAAATGAAGCGACATTCAACATGGCAGCGAACCCTCCTTCAATGTTTTAAAGATGCATTTGATTGGCCGAATGTTTCACTAGTATTGCCATGTTCTATTTTGACATTTATGATTTTATTCAAATTTTGGCAGATTTTTATAGGTTGGTGAACTACAATTAATAAATAAACCACATTTTAATTTGTTAAATATGAAAAGGACGCAATTATAAATAGCGAATATAATTACATAAAAAACATCACTTGATATTTACTCTGGTAACATTTGTTGTCTAGCGGTATCGAACTGTCATCTGTCAACTGTCAAAGCAAAATGCAATTGGTTCTTGTGCTAACGTTTAAATGATCCAAATATAATTGTTATTTTATTACTATTTATTGTTATATTGTTAAATAAAAATACTTAACTTAACCATGAACAAGATAAAACAATCAGTTGAATATTTGAAAGGACCTGATCTAGTTGTTGAAGTTCAAAAATACTTTGGTGTAAAGTATAAACCCTCAGTTCAAAAAAATAATAGTGATACAGAATATGATATAAATCGAAAACAAATTGAAAACCAACAAAAATACACTGCCACTAAAAATATTTATGAACAAAGTGATAATAGTCAATTTAATGATGTTAACCTCAAATGTCACAAAAGAAATGTTAGCACGGAATCACAATCGTCGCAATGTGTATCTACTGATGATGCTTCAACAGATTCAGATTTCGAACTGAATAAACCTAAATATGAAATCACCAACAAATTTTGGTACTATCTTTTTCGTATAGGAACTGAGTTAGGCGATGAAATTTTTTATGCAACTTTTATACCATTTTGGTTCTGGAATATCGATGGTGCTGTAGGAAGACGTGTTATCTTTGTTTGGTCTGTTATAATGTATATAGGTAATATACACTTCTATAACTCATTGATATTCCTAAATTCTATAACTGTATATCTCAACTTTAGGTCAAGGTTTAAAAGATGTTATCAGATGGCCTAGACCAGGTCCACCTTGTATACGCTTACAAGAAAAGTGGTCACAAGAATATGGAATGCCTTCAACGCATGCTATGGTTGGAATTGCAATTCCTTTATCTGTTTTAATATTCACTGCAGAACGATATATTTATCCATTGCATCTTGGTGGAGCAGTTACTTTGACTTGGTGTTTGCTCATCAGTGTCAGTAGATTATATTTAGGAATGCACAGTGCATTGGTAATTATAAAATACATATAATATAATCATGGGCTCAAACAAATCACTTAGTTTTATTATTTACCATATAGGATGTTATTGCTGGGTTATTCTTGGCATTATTACTTATGATTCCATTAGTTCCACTGGCTGATCTATTAGATGGGTTTTTAGTTACAAATCCAATGAGTCCTCTAGCAGTTCTTTTGTTATCTTTACTTTTAATATGGAAATATCCAAGTGCTGATCGTTGGACACCAACAAGGTAAATTGCAATGCAATAACTTTAATTGATATAATTTATTCATTCATATAATTCAGTATATTATTTATCCTACTTTCAGAGGTGATACAACAATGACCACTTCTGTTTATGTGGGTATTGTGCTTGGTGCTTGGCTGAATTACCAACTTGGTAGAATGGTTATACCATCATTACCTCCTCCATATGCAATAATTTGGCCTTCATGGAGTATGCAGGGTTTAACTTTACTTCGTACAACATTGGGATTGTGCTGCATAATGGCTACTCGAGCTATTTGCAAATCTTTGTCTTATGCCTTAGTGTGCGCCCTTATAAGAAAAGATCCACATGAACTGAGAAAATCTGAAAATTCCTTACAAAATCGTTCTAAATTAATTGTGGAATTATCATATAAATATTTTACATATGGAATGATAGGTTTCAATACAGTTTTTCTTTTACCTCACGTATTTCAGTTATTAGGTATAAATAGACCAACTTTTTATACGGAATTGTAGCAAAATCTTTAGAAATGCATTTACTTACAGAATTTAGTCCCCTGTGATAAAAAGTAAACATAATTCACATAGAATATTATGGCTTTCAAATTTATTATTAAAAACAAGCATTTATTGATATAAATTTAGAATAAAATAATATATTTAATATTTGAGTAGAACAAGTTCCCTCAATTAATATACTTTGTATCTGATATATTAATTGAAAATGTTAATATATCAACTTGAGAACTTTACACTCAAAACAAATAATCAAAAATGAAATAAATATCACTAAATTATTAAAAACATAAGTAATTTAAAATGATCTCTTTGACAAGCAAAAAGTACATTAGAAATCACTCTAATTGTGAACACAGCTAATACCAAGTTCAGTTTAAAGAATGCTTATAGCAATATTAGAATTAATAACATTTTCATTATTGTTATGTTATATGAAAATAAAAAATATTTTTCAAATAATTTATTTATTTTAATTACGCTTTAATTAAATATGTTAAGTACCCTATGAAACAATATTTTTATCGTGAATTAAGTTTGTACTTAAGTATATTTTTTGTTACAAAAATATTCAAAATAACCTAATATAAAAATAGTTAAAGTGCCTTTAAAAATGCAAAATTAAACTCAATCTTTTAGGACATCTGAGGCACTTGTTATTGCTTTCACAGCTCAAGTTTAATTGCTGTACAAGTTATAAACTATAAATTGAAAATTAATATTAATTCTACATAAATTAGATATAAATAATTGACAAAAAATCTATTTACGAGGTATTTTAAATGTGCATTTCAAGTATAAAATTACTGATAAAATCTTTTTTTGTCAAAGTTTTGGCAGTAATAAATTATTGAAAGTCTAAGGCAAGGTAAATAAAATTATCATAAACTAAAAAATATAACATTAACCATTTATAGGATTTCCATTGCTTATTTAAG